GATCCCATTACCGGTCAGTAAAAAAGACAAAAAGGAAAAAAAAAATTGCTCTGACAATTTTAGAACACAAAATTCAAATACATTTAAATCCTAAACAATATTGTGGGTGATCCTTTTGAATATACCTAACAATTTTCTTAGAAGAAAAAAGAAACTTTAAGCAGGCTTATTTAATCATGTTCTGAAATCTGAAAGCATCTATCAGAAATGGTTGCCTGCTTGCTTTAGGGGTGTGTGTGGGCATACAGAGTTCAAGGTGCTGCCAGCAATCCTTTCTGTAACTAGTTTTTTGTTGATATTGTCTTTTGTTTAGTGCTGTTAGCACATTGTATGGGTCTCTCATTATCCCTTAAAAGCTCCACATCTCAGAGGCTGGAAGTCAGCTTTAAGTCACTAAAGAGAACATCAAGATAGGTTGTTTTTCAGGCAGTGATGAAGTGATGTACAGTGTCTGTCATTAGCATCATGCATTGTAGGATGGTGAGGTGGCATTTTGAAAAGAGCACTGGACTAGCAGTTACTATACCTGGGCCTGACCTCACCTTCATCGTTTACAAACATCTGACCTTCTGACACTAAAGCTGCTCCTTAATCTTTCTGAGCCTCAGATACTTCATCTGTAATCTGGAGATGTTAATACCTGTCCTCACTACCTTTTACGGTTGTGACACTGAGATGGAAAGTATGTGATACTACTTTGAAAATTACAGAAATTACTTTAATTAAAGGTAACTATATAGTAAATATCTTCTGTAATCTTATCAATGCATTACAACTCTAGATTCTTGGTTACTATGCCAGTAGCTAGGAATTGGTGTAAATTTAATACAACTTTTATCCTGAATAACTAGCATAGAAAAGTGAATATATATATGTGTGTGCCAGTATAAAAACCTACAACTTTTGTTGGCATTTTCTGTATACATAATCAATTTCCTCTGGTTCAGTGAATTGACCCTTTCACAGTCTGATTCAGCTTTGTGTTTCAGGGGCAAGTGAAAGAGGTATCTTACTGCTTTGCAATCTCGTCTCAACCATTCATTAAGCTGGCTAGCTTCATTATCTACTCCCAATTATGTTGTTGATTCATCTGCAGACCATCTTCTGTCATCAGATCAAAAAGCAGAAAAACAGTCCCAGGGTGTTCAGATAGAACATGTAGCTTTATGTTGGAGATTATTCAATTTAGAAAAGAAAGACTGGTGGAAATTGGTGCTAGAAGGAACCCTACAAATTTCTCTACTCCAGTTTTCTCTTATTTTCAGCTTTGCAGACAAGAACAATTTAAAAGAACTTAGTAGGCTCCTTCAGTGTCACACTGTTTAATGAGAGAATCAGGACTATAACTTGGGTGGTCTGACTCCCGACCCAGTTCTTATTTAATAGCTAAGTCTCTGAGGAAAGATTCATACTATTGCCCACTCAGCCTCCCCATCTACACAAAATTATGGGACTAAAGATAAAGAAATTTAAATGGACCGAGCAAGTAGAGGATGTACTGAAGGAAGATAGCATTATGGACTTCCATAAAACTTTTTTTTTTTTTTT